TGGAGGCCAGTCAGAATCTTCTCTCTCAGCCCCATATTTCCTCTCCGAATCTTCACCATACAGGCGAATATCCTTCCTATAATGGACACTGGGACAGGAGTGACCCACAGGAGGGGTGTTAGTTTGCAAACATCTAATCATGTTTGGTTCTGAGAAACTTGGCTTCATTTCTCTGCTCTTTTCATTGTCGATTAATCTGTCTATTGTTTTTTCTAACCACTGATTAGTTGTTTGGCCTGTAAAATGTCCAAAAAGGTGAACAATGTCGAGCAGCATGTAAAGTTTTAACAATGGTATTCACCTTATACTTAAGTGGCAGCAGCAACGTAGCAGCAGAATGAAGAACAGCATCCAAACTTCAGCAAAACTTTGACTTTTACCAGATTCTGACACTTAAAACAAGTACACTTACACAGCATTGAGTGACAAAGGTTCCCCTTGACCCACAACCAAAACCAGAAAACAGTGCAATCCAACCAGGATGTAAAGGCTTCATTCTATACCATTCCTAAACAGGAAGAGGGGCCGTCTCGAAAAAAGACTACCGTTATTTTTCTTTATTATGTTCAATGATTTAAAGTTACCCCGGCACAGTTCTACCAAACAGAACATTCACTCCTCACTCAGACTAACTGATCCCACTTAAAACAGAAACGATAAACATAACAGAACAACTCATTCCCAAAATCCCCCTCTCTCCTCAGTCCACTTGGTTTGCTCCCATGAGGCTGATTGAAACCACCAGGCCTCCATGACACTGCTGATCCCTTAGAAATAACCTCAAGAAAGAGAGTCATCAGAAACAAGAACGCATGGCCAACTAAACAACTAATAAAAATAAAGTCAACTAATGTGTCAGTCAACTAAAGAGGTTTAATTATTAGCAGATCAACACATTGAAAAGCAATCATGAAACAGACTGAACATATTTAACTAAATTAATGTTCATTTGAGTGGATTGAGTGTCAGAACTTGTTCAGTGTCTGCAGCTGTTTTCACACAGTGTTTTATTAGATTATATATACATTATTTTATTTTATTTTAGCATTCGTCCATTTGTTGATTGCTTTCTCAACTAATCAATTCGTTTTTAAGACTATAAAATATCAGAAAATAGTCAAAAGTGTCGATCAGTGGTTCCCAAAGATAATAAATGTCTTGTTTTGTCCACAAACCACAGTTGAACTGTCACAGAAGAGACAAAAAAACTAGAAAATATTCACAATTAAGATGCTGGAATCAGATCATTTGGGCTGTTTTTTGTTTAAAAAAATACTCAGAAGTAGTTGCCGATGAATTTACTAGTTGATATCTAACTGATTAATAAGTGCAACTCTACTCCTTCCTCACCCTAACTGGTTGAGGTGGATATCAATCTTCTCTGAACCTGGTTAGGATTCTTCCCACTGCTGCCAATTCAAAGAAAATGGTTGTATTTCTCTCTATAATAAAATATTCTAAGGTGTTGAAATGACCAGGTGAAGAGCATAAATTATGTCCTGGATTGGTGCTATATAAATAAGTAGAACTGAACACTGCACAAAACACATTATGGATGAAGTAAAGCGTCCACGTTTTGCAGTATCGTCTATTTTCTTGATGATCTTGATGAGCATAGGTGGGCTTTGAGAATTCACCTCAGTCATGTAGTACCGCAGTTATGATACTCATCGACCATAGTTCACTGTGGAAATGACAACATCCTTTTCTCCCTGATGTAACATACTACTACGCCCTCGATGTCCCAACTGTTTAATCTTCAACGCTGCCATAAACCACACTGAGCTGTGCTATAAAACTAGGGAGGAGGGTTTGGAGATCATCTTTCTGTTCTGCATGCTTTGGTGACTCCTCCCGGTTGTTTGGGATAAAGGGGCCCAATATAGAACAGGATATCACTGCTATCAGTAAGAAGCATTTTCACATGGACGGCGTGTTTTTAGTGCTGCATGATAAGATAGCTCTTCCAGCAGTTGCTGAGGAAGTCAGGATGCCCATTTAGTCACATTCATCGGGATAATTTCCACCGATGGTTCACGTCAGGACCTAAACGTAAGATAATGCTCATAAGACTGTTTGGCTAACACATTTGGTGAGCATGTGTCAATACATGAGAGTTCAAACACCCCCCTTCACCTTGGCTCGGGGAAAGATACAGGTTTCTGTTACTGTTTGATGTTGATGGTGAATGATTAGCCCAGCAAGTCAGTGATTTGAGCTTCCTTTTGTCTTAAAGGGATACAAAAACCAAGGCCTTGCAAGAGAGGCCCCGAATGGTTTTATTATCATCATGTGTTGTGAAACCCTTCAAAGACAAGTTCAACATACTGGGATATTTATGTTTTTGCTGTTTTGTCAGAAGTAAGGTGATTAAAAATGGTGCAACTCTTGTGTTTGTTCACTGAAAATAAGGCGACAGTCAGCAACTGCGCGGTACAAAGGCTGGAAACAAGGAAACGGTTAATCTGGTTACTCTGTGCACAGCCTGTATGTAAAAGATGGATGTAGCCTCAGAGTCTGAAGAGTAAAGCCAAAGCGTCTTTCTGCTGCATTTTTTTCCTCACAGCTAGCAGAGGGTGACGAAAAAAAGTCTGATTGTATAGAAGTCAATGAGAAAATGACCCTACTTCTGACATGATGTGTTACCTCATTAAACATTTTCCAAATTAGTTTATGGTCTCACTTGCTAGTTTTCAGGTCTAACAGACAAAAAAGCAGCTTAGAATTTGGGTGTGTGGCTACATTATGATTGACAGTTCGCTACCTTATGAGCAGTTCCTTAAATGGCCACTAGAGGCTGGTTTAATAGAACCCCAATGTCCAGCTTTCCAGCAGAAATAAACATGATTGAACAGGACTAGTGGTGGGTCGAGAGGAGTCAGGCACTGCTGGAGCCAGCACTCCGAGCTTTGAAACTAATATTTGGGAAACCTACAGGTAGCAACACAGAGGGTTGATCCATCTTTATAGACAGTCAATGGTAACATCTTGGAGTTCTCAGTCAGATCAACACCTTGTTTGTCATGTCTGGTTTCAAAAGGCTAATATGACAATTGGCGTAGTTCCAAACTGGCTTCAAAATTGAAGTTCACAAACCAACGGAGGATGTCTCCGTGGCTATGTCCATCTTTTACATACAGTCTATATTCTAGTTCTGTTCTGTTTTTAAACTTGTTATCTGTCTTTTAACCAGTTTACGGGAGATTTTCAAGCTATTAGTAATAGTCTGGTGGTGGAAACAGTTCCTTAAAAGAGTAAATAATGGAACTATGAAAAAAGCTTTTGATATACCAGACTGTTTATTGGCATTTTGACAGAGCCATGTTTGCTGTTCCCAGTCGTTGAACTTTGCTAAGCTTCTCGCCTGCTGTTGTAACCATATATTCCACCATCAGATACGATATCGTGTCGATTTCCTCGTCCAAATCTCAAGAAAACATGCATCCATCCATTAGCTGTACCTCAGGGTCATGGGGGGTTGGAGGTAGGTGGTCACAAGTTCACCACATGGCTAACATGAAGACACAGAAGCTCACACCTACAACGAACCTACATTCCCCAGTTGACCTGCCATGCATTTTATAGACCGTGTGAGGAAGCTGTGGTATCTAGAGGTTCGAATCCAGAGCCTTTTGGTTGTGAAGAAACAATATTAAGCACTGTTGCATCATGCTGCTTGCATAAAAACAAATAAGAGTGTCTTAGGAAGTTGTCTTAAGAGGAGTTTATTCTGAGGTCTTCTTAGAAAGATGCTAAAACACGAAGCTTTTTCAAACCTGGTTCTACTTTTCTTTTAACGATTCCATATTTAGCAGCTGAAAAACTGTTAAATGCGATCCGAAGCCGAGGAGATGTTTGTGCTCCGCTCATTATCGTGTGTTGTTTTCATCACGTGGGTGCTGTTGTGGAGTTTTTAACTTTGCAAATTAACTCACCAAACCCCTAATAGAACACATTTGGAGCCTGCTCAACACTTTCCAACATGAACACCGATAATGAACACCTCTACTTCTTCCTCAGCGGCTCCTTAATTGGTCGGCGCTGCATGTCGGTGTGTCAGCCAGGAGAGGGAGCTGCTCTATAAATAGAAACAGTTCAAAAAATGTGCTCCAGCCACTCCATCTGTGTCCCTTTTTCTGTTTCATTTGACTTTCAGACGATGAGGCTATTTTTTCTGCCAGAATCTCTTCCAACAAGCCAATTTCTTTGCTTTGTGTGTGTGTGTGTGTGCCGAATGTACCTGCTTTTATTTGCTGTCCTACATAACTTCTCTTTGGAAATAAATGCTAATTCCTGCCTTAAAACCAAAGCCAAGCATCAATAATTCACAGAGGAATCTTCTCCAGGTCTGCTACTAGTGATCAAATATAACCTGCCAGAGTCAAACACATGTGCACATGAATTAAATATGAACGCCGCTGCTCCGCTACTCAAAAACTGACAGCTACAGAAACTAAAAGTGGCACAGATATCTCATTTTTGACAGTGGTATGGGATGTGATGCTATTTTTGATATGAGTTTGTGTGTTCTGGAAAGGCCTCATTGGACTTATTCTAATAGGCCACATGCAATTGTGAACAATAATAAAGCAAAATAAAAAAAGTGTGAGATTTGGGACAGATCAGAGGGTGAGTGGTGGCACTGATGCGTTTCAGTGGAGGTTTGGTTGCAGCGGTGGGAAGAGAGAGATGCGGCTCCTCCCCCCTGGTATGAACTGACACCTGTTTTGCACTTTGTGTCAGTGAGAGCTCGCTCTGCTCTCCATCTGTGTCTAAATCAGAGCGCAGGGCTCCAGCTGCCACCTGGACCGACTCTCAGCCTCACCTGGAGGATAGAAACGAGGGAGGAAACTGCTTCTAGAGGAGCAAACTGTGGTGAAAATCCTGAAAGTGAGCAGAATTTCCTCAGGTGTGAGCTGTCACTCCCACTGGAGAGAGGATAATCTTTTTTTTGTTTGTTTTGTTTTGTTTTTGTTTTTCTGGAGGATGTAGATCTCCACGAATAAAAAAAAAAAGGATTGAAGTTTTAAAAAAAACAAGACTTGAGGTGACGTCATGTCCACAAACGGTCAAGACAGAGACCCTGATATTGAACTTTTCGTAAAGGTAAGACACAGAATAAACTGCGATTACAGTATTTTTTTTTAAAGTTTAGAGTCAATATATGAGCAGAATTTTCAGCCGAGCATCACCGTGTGTTATGGAAAGCTCATGTAACCCAATAGTGGAGGTAGAGTTACAGCGGCACCGGCACACTGAGCTCTACGTTGACCTGGGATTTCTGTGACAGTGATACTGAAGCTGCTTGTTGAAGGTGGGAAGCTCGAGTCCAGGCGCTGTGCTGGTAACATTAATTCAGCTTTTCTACAGGCATTATGCAGTTTGCTGTTTTTAGATCACAGATATCGGGAGAATTCTCTCAAAAGTGAAAGAACTGGGTTTTTATTCACTTGTTATTCTCTCTTTCAAACACTGGTGTATTCACCGATGACTAGATGCACGTTAAGAGAAGCGCAAATGACAAAAGAGATGTTTTCAAAGTGCCACCTTCGCTCGTGTTTTGTTCTCGATAAAAACATGCCCTTCAGCTCCCCTGGGCGATGTTAGAGCCACATGAATTTACCTGAGGCAGGTGAGGTGGAAGCAGGATGCACTGACCCAATTAGCTGATGTGGCTTCATGCAGCCGCCTCCAAGGAAACAAGTCTGCTTAAAGTTCGCTGACATCGTCACCCTTAGGCTCTGCCGTTTACACTTTGGTACACAAAACTGTTATTTGTAGAAACACTGCAGCAAGATAGTATGATAGAGCTTTAAATAAATGTTGGTCTAAAGTCACTTTCGGCCAGTTTTGTGCACAAATGTATGACTACTAGAGGAAGAGAGTGGTTTCCATAGTAGCTGCCATCCTAATATTAGTTTTTTCCTCATGCTGTCATCTGAGATGTGACCTACATGGACAGAGACGAATCCTGCAATACCAGACGACAGCCCCACATAGAAGAAGAATTAGATTTGGGGGGTTATTGAAGCATTCTGTGCACGACAGGCCTGAATCATTGCTAATTTTAGTTTAAACTCCATTGCAGATGTGAGAAAATATGCAGGAAAGCATCACGATCACAGCCTGTGCCAGTAACTGTCAGTGCCCCAGTTATTAAAAACTCAGGATTGAGACACTTCTTGAGGCTTTACATAGTGATAAAAAGGGGCACCGCATTAGTTTTGCACATCAAAATCTGAATACTGAGGTCCATAAATGCACAAAAATGTAAAAAATAAAGAATGTTGAATGCTGAAATTAAAAAAGCAACATAACATTTATTCAAATTTCCAATCTGAGGCCAGAAAGCTGATATTTCTTAAGGAGGAAAGTGTATTTTTTTAGTCAAATTGACAGATTTAACAGCAGAATATTGCAATTTAAATTAATTATTTGCAGGAGAATTTTAAAAAGTAGTCAAACCAAGAGCTCCAAAACCCAGTTACAGTGCAGCGTGTACAGTACGTGATGGATTGTGTGAAGTAACTTTGCCTGATCGCATCGCTCAGCGGCTCCATACACTCGTGTACGCGTCCAGTTGTGTGTGACAGCTTTTGTCCTCCATGTTCTAGATGTTGATTGGCTATTATCTGCGGGCCCGTGTATTGTGTTACCGCCGTACGGCCGAGCCAGGCCACAACAATGCCCCGACAGAAGCATCACGTGCGCGAGTGCAGCACCGAGAGCATCAATGGCTGGCCTGCATACAGTCGGCTCAGCTACTTTCAGACCGACAGCTTTTTTTTTTTTTTCTGGTCTTTGCTCGTAGCTGTGTGGAAACAGACACATGGAGCGAACGGCAAAATGCTTCTTGGTGTTGCATCTTGTCCTGTGTAGTTATTTCTGGTGCTGCATCCAAGTTTATTTGTCATATTTACTATTTCAGGGCCCTAACTCAATGCTAGACATCGTAAAAGTGCACAAAATTCAAATCCTCTGCCTTTTTTTTTAAGGGTTAAGAGAGTTTATTGTCCAAATCATCCATCGTGCACTAACAAGGGAGGCTGATTCCTTGTGTCAGATCTCACCCCGCTGTCCACGAGGTCACTGCCCTCACTTCACTGTGTGCTGCTCAGTACGACTGCAGGCCTCGCGGGTCGGGTCCTGCACTCGGTGCCCCAGTGGCCACTGAACCAGATGATGGAATCACTATGTATAATTCAGCTGAACCAGTGGATCAGGTGTCAGCGTCGGTGCTCCGCTGCGCGTCCGCACATGCCGACACACGATATCACTGCATGCACGGCAGTTTGTAAAGGCAAAGAAGTGATTCTACGTCGTGTTTTCCTGTCAGGAGGTCAACATGCAGCTTTTATTTGTTTATTTTCACGCTCTTGTTCTGGAAAATTCTAAATTCTGGAGTGAGAAATCAAGCCGTCTCAAAATAATGTGGAGTTTTCTGTGTCAGCGGTGCTTAGCAAGGCTGTGCTGCTTCTCTTACGTCTCTGCATAGACACGAATTAGTATAAGAAGCTGTGTACACCTACTCAAGTGTAATATTTAGGAGCAATCTGAAGCCACTTTGCTTCATAATTCACTTGAACATTTTGATTTCATGTCATTTTATACATTTAACTGTCGACACTAAGAAGGCAAATACTTTACTTTTTACTTTACTGTTTCGCAACTTTTGTATCTTTGCAGATTTTAAAAGATTTTACACAGAAAATCTGATGAGCTTATACCATATGGTGCACCGTTATACGTCATGCCTTTAGGCAGGCCTGCACAGGTAATCAAAATATTAAAAGTAAAAGTAAAATGTGTTACAACATGCCATTATGCATGAAGGACTGTGGTGCTGCAGAGATGCTCCAGTCTATAAAGTATGTTTTCTAGATGTAAGAGAACATGTTCATTTGGTGCAAATCACAGAAAAATAGATCATTTTTATATTTGTCTCAATGAAAAAGAAATCCAATGAACTCGTGACACATATTGTAATATCGGTCAAAAAAACATGTACATACATATCGTACAGCTCTAACCTTAAGCCCTATTTTTTTGGGGCTATTTTTTGTTCAATCAACAACAGCTTCACAACTGTACGGTCAAAATCAGGTCAGCAGATAAGAGACACTCTTTCCGTCTGCATCACCGGAGTCAGATCAGATCAATGATCAAAACTGTAAAGAGCAAATAAGATCGTCGTAGCAGTAAAGTCAATGACATCGATGTTATTGAACCTCTTCTAAAAATTTCCAGCTGCAGCTCTGCCTCATACGAGGCAACAGAAGAGAGGCACAACAAAATGCTGCATCTATTTTAGTCTCGGTAGAATGCAAGAGTTCCACCTCGACCAGCTACAGCAGTCAGATGTTACCTGCACTGTGCTTTTTCTGGGGGTGACCCAGTAGCTGAGCTGTTGTGGCGAATAACACACGAGAGTCCCTTGTTCACTTCCTGTCTGGGGACCATTTGTTGGCTGTCTTCACATTTCTCTCCACTGTTGTATACCTGCAACTTTGGTTTATTTCTGACTATAAAGCTTCAAACAAAAGGCGATCGTGCCTTTGAAGTGGCGGCCCTACGCTGTGGAATGTCCTACCTATAGACCTTCGTCTTAATGCGTTTAAAAAGTAGCTAAAGACTTTGTCCCACCTATGATTTATGTTTATAATCCGTATGTTCTTTTTACATTAATATGACTATTTATCTGTTTATCTTGGATCTACCATTGATCTTTTTTATTTCCTCTTTTTGCAGTTTTTAAGGACTTATGTTGATTTTCTCTGTTAAGCACTTTGTGACTTTGTTAAAGGTTCTATTTTTAATAAAAAAAACCAACAACTAATATTGTAAACTAGACCTCTATGTAGCTTCATGTTTAGACACACTTGGTGCTTTTCTAATAATGCTTACTTCTACTGAACTTTCTGTGGCACATTTTACTATTTCTTCCAGATTCAGATTTTTTATAGATTTGCTCTGATTCTATCCTTTTTGTTACACAAATTTAAAGGTGGCACTTTTATTTGTGTTTATAATATTTAAATGTACAAAGTAAAACAAGAATGTGAACTACAGGAGTCAGGGGGAGCTTCCTTCCTCTGAATAAGACGTTAGCTCCACTAAAAACACGATTCGTGAAACTTTGGAGAGATCTCTGAAATATTGACAGTATGACTGATGTATGATTCATGTGTGACAGAGATTGATCACGAATTCACTTTAATAAATATACCAGCATGCATGCTATTCTCGCCATCCCTCTCCTAAACTCAAAAAAAAAATTCTTTCTGATGCCAAAGGCTGTAAAACAAAACAGAAGAGAAAAACTTCTGTGGTGCTGAAAGCAGGCAACGGCATCGACTTTTCATCTCTTTTCTCATCAGTGTTATTTATATTCTTATTAATTGCAATAGTAATGAATAAAACCTACAGTCAGCATGCTTTGTAAATGTCATTTCTATCATTTTTTGACTGTGAAAAAGTAAAAAAGTGTCCCTGAAGGCCACACTCAGTAAAACCCATGACTCCTCTCTGCACAACCATATTCCACAAACAGCGAGATAACAGCCGAGATAACCTCCCTCTAATCCTAATATGTATTTAATTATCAGCAGCAAGGTTGCAACCTTGTGAAGAAAAGACGTCACGTATTTAATTTTCACAGCATTAGTCTCTGTGAATACGGCGACAAGTAGGAGGTGTTTCCCCTGAACTCCAGCCTCTGACCTGCAGCGAGACATTTAATCCCTCTTAACCCTCAGAGTTCAAGGTCCTCCGTGCAGAACGGGAAGCATCTGGATACTTGGTTCTAGAGACAGAAATAGAGTAGTTCATAAAAAGAACACCTGCACTCTGTACTGCTGTCCTGCAGCGTTGTAGTAAATAAATACGAGTGCACTTTGGAAAATGTTGGAAAATGTTGAATTTTAAAGACCCCCTCCGGTGGAAATCTGGTATTTGTTATTTTTGTTTTTGTTTTAGCTTGTTAACGTGTCTATGTGTTGTTTTTTAAAAATCTGTTAGAACACATATTACGGCCAAAATAAACAGTTAGTGTACCTGCAGTCGTCTCAAAAACACAGATTCAGACTTCTGGGGTTTCATATGTAACAGATCTAAGGAATCAAGTCTTTCATCTTGCAGTTTGGGACTTTGTGTGTCATTCGTCTTCTTCAGAATTGGTTTCCAGGCCCAACATTTATGGATTATTACTCAAATGTCCACACAATTTGCCACTGTGCAGCGTATAGTATAGGAAACTACAGTGTGTGAGCAGAGTTGTAGATCGGTACATTCAAGAGGAAGCAACAGTATACAGTTAAATCTATGCCATTTTAAGGCAGGAAGAGATTATTTTCATGGAAATAAACTGCAGGGTGGAGCAGTTGGTAGCACTGTTGCCTCGCAGCAAGAAGGTTGCCGGTTCGCGTCCCGGTGGGGGCACCGGAATCTTTCTGCGTGGAGTTTGCATGTTCTCCCCGTGCAGCGTGGGTTCTCTCCGGGTTCTCCAGCTTCCTCCCACACAGTCCAAAAACATGTTGAGGTTAATTGGTGATTCTAAATTGTCCGTAGGTGTGAATGTGAGTGTGCTTGGTTGTCTGTCTCTAAGTGTAGCCCTGTGATAGACTGGTTACCTGTCCAGGGTGTCCCCTGCCTTCACCCTGAGTCAGCTGGGATAGACTCCAGCCCCCCATGACCCTAGTGAGGATTAAGCGGTGTATAGATAATGGATGGAAATAAACTTCTAAATATATCATTTTCATATACAGACATGAGTTTCTGGGGCTAAATCAACCACCATAGAGGGAATTTAAAGTTCACCTTTGCAAAGACTGAGCCACTTGGTCCTGTTTTCAACCATAGTACTACAGTCTGTTCCTGTTATTTCTTCATTCCACTGTCCACCTTTACAGGCTATGGTTTCACAGTATTATGTCAAAATGCACTGATCTGCTTTCTGTCACTTTGCGTGCAGGCGGGCAGCGATGGAGAAAGCATCGGCAACTGTCCCTTCTCTCAGCGTCTCTTCATGATCCTCTGGCTCAAAGGAGTCGTGTTCAACGTCACGACCGTCGACCTCAAGAGGTGGGGATGCAGAGACGCAAGATTTAAAAGGAAAAAAAAAACCCACCCACACCTCACTTTTGTTCTTCATGACGTTCTGCTGTTCCTGTGTTCTCTCCAGAAAGCCTGCGGATCTGCACAACCTGGCTCCAGGAACGCACCCTCCCTTCCTGACCTTCAACGGAGAGGTCAAGACAGATATCAACAAGATTGAGGAGTTTCTGGAGGAAACGCTCAGCCCCCCGAAGTAATTCAGCCAGAAAGTTTTACAACGCTTAGAGTGCGGTATCGGATTATACCGCTGACTGCACGCATCCTGCTTTTGGCTGGATTTATTTCACTTCAGCAACACAGTTGAAAGAAACAGGAAACTCTTTAGTCCAGTAAAAGAGTGCTGCATTTGATGAAGACTGACTGATATAACTATTTGTTGTTTATGGCGGCTGTAAATCTTTTTTTGAGTTTATACATACATATATATGTCTGTGTGTGTGCATGTATTTTTTATAAACATCAGCTTTAACTGTATGAACCCAACGATTCTTCGTCACAGTTTTCTGCCTAATTTCAGCAAAGTCAAGACGGTCTTTTTTGTCGCTGACATTCCAAAAAAACATCAGAGCCGGCGTGTGAGAGCGCTCGCAGAGAAAAACGTCAGATTAACTAAATCTTTCTTTTATTGCCTGTAAAGTTTTTAGTGTGAGAGAGCTTAAGGGGCGAGCGGCCAACTCGGTGTGTAACATGCTTTAAGTCTGAAGCTGAGTTCCAGTCCAGGTGTTAATGCCATCCAGATGTTTTGGGTCTGACTGCGTCTCCTGCCTCCGTCTGCTCAGGTATCCCAAGCTGGCTGCCAAGCAGAGAGAGTCCAATACAGCTGGAAACGACATCTTCGCCAAGTTCTCAGCCTACATCAAGAACACCAAACCAGAAGCCAACGCCGGTGGGCCGCTCGCACAACAGAACAAGATGAAAAAAAACACATGACAGTCACTATTTCGTTCCTCCACTAGGTCGTAGCAGAGGCCAGTGTTTGAGGGCTTCGCTCATGTGGTCTGCTCTGCTGCCACCTAGCGAGGCTGCACGAGTTCTGGCCTTTTTTTTTTTAACAGGGCTGTGTTTGTGCATGCAGTTCTGGAGAAAGGTTTAACCAGAGCCCTGAAGAAGCTGGATGATTACCTGAACAGCCCCCTGCCGGACGAGATCGATGCCGACAGCATGGAGGAGGAGAAGGGCTCCAACCGAGGCTTCCTGGACGGGAACGAGCTCACGCTGGCAGACTGCAACCTGCTGCCCAAACTGCACATAGTCAAGGTAAAGAAGGAGGAAAATAGTGCTTGATTATCGAAGAAAAAAAAAACTATACATAAGGAGCAAATAATATTTATCTCCAGAATCCGAATCAGTTTTATTTCCAAGCAGGTTTTCACAGTGCATCACACTAAACACTGACAGGAGATGATTTTAAAAAAGGATTAGGCGATTAAAAAAACCCCAAATGCAAGTCAACAGACAGTTAATGTTACAAGTCCAAGATTTATAAACTAATAAAAAGTACAGTGAGCAGGACAAATGATTCGCCCTGTGCAAAATGACATAGTGTGTGATTTAATACGTTTAAAATGTTCAAATATTATTAATGAGAAAAATATTGACTCATTTATTAGCCTTTAAGGTTTTTAGTTTCGTCCTGTTTAACTTCCATCTGCTCTTGTTTTAGTCGATTTTTTATTTTTATTTTTAACTTGAATGCAACAATTGCTAACTTTGACTTTTAATATTTTATTTTAGTTTATTTGTTAGCAGACATTGTTCTCAAACCCGGGTATGTTGTAAATGAGGCCTTCATACCTCAGTGTACACAGAGTTTAAGAAAAAGGTTGAAAAAAAGTGAATGAAGTAACGAATAATATTCTCATTTTAAAGGCTGTGTATTAAAGAAATGACTCACCATTTACAGATGAGGATGGTGGGAGAGAGTGTAACTGGGGGCCTTCTTAAAGATTTTATGTTATTTAAAAAAAAAAAGTACAAGACGCAAAATGTAAACAACATAATGTCGCAATGAAACACTTCTAGTATGAATATTTAATTCATGAAAACCAAATTTTGGGTATGTCCCTCAGAACTGAAGAAAAATGAGTTACTTTCTGCAGTCGTGCATTTCTGATTATGCTGGTATCATAAGCACAAAATCTGATTTTTTTTGTTGCCAAACTATCAGCAACAACATTTTGCTCCTCACTGAAGTATTTCAACATCTTTGGTGGTTTTTCATTGACTTTTCCTCTGGTGCCCCCTGCAGGTGTAGGACCAGATAGCTGAGACACAAATTACCATAAACTTCAGCCACTGGTTCCTCTTTCACAGGCTGTTTAAAGCGTGACCGCTTTGCCTTTATTCCACCTCGCTGGTCTGTATGTACGGTTCAGAGACAGAATGGAGCGACTTTGTTGTTGGTTTTAAGCCGGCAGCGGTTGTCAAATCGACATCTGTCTGAAAGGTAGAGCTGCCAAGGCCGAGCACGCGAATGCTGTTGTGTTCCGCGTCATGTCACTGTTACAGCGTCATGCTGCATGAGAGCAAACAACAGAGTAACAGTGATGTATTAAAGGGGCCTTCTTGGCATCATTACTGCACAATCTATGTGTGAAAGGGGACGATACTTGCTCTTAGAACAAATCTGCAAGTGTCAGTGGGCAATAAACGAAGTGGACGAACGTGAGAGGAGAACCCAGAGAAAATAGGAGACGTACAAACTCCATCCTAAACACTCCATCACTGTGGTGCTCTAAGCCTAGTGCTAAAGCTAGAGTGTGAACAGAGACATGAACATCAGTTATGTTCAAGCCCTCAACAAGTGAGTTCACACCAAGTCGATTAAGCCCAAAAGAACCAGATACATTTCTGTATTTGGCAGTATACAGAACATATACACACATTTCTATGGTGACATTCCTGCGCTGGTGAACTGGTTGTGTAACGTTTAGCTTGAATCAGCCATGATTGGTTTGCCAGAGCTGAAAAAGGGAGAAACTGTAGTGAAAAGGAACTGCACTCTAAAAAATACTGCTGGGTTGCAACAACATGAAAAAAATTGTAAAAACAGTTTGCATCAATCTTCTAATGAAGTTGTGTCGACCTAACAAACTACCGTGAGTAATTAGTTTATCCTCAACAAACAAATTTATTTATTTATTTTTTATTTCTTCTTATGTAATGATTGATAGCACAAACACAAGTTTATAAGTTAATTAAACAGTTGTTTAATTTCCACATTATTTACAAGAAAACTGTCTGTGTTCTATGTTTAAGTTTTTAAGTTGGTAACTGGAAAAAAATTAAGTTGCTTCAACTACATTTTTTTTCAGTAGTTTTTGGCTTTTTCATGTTTTTGTTCGTGTGGTGGCTTTTAAGAACAAAAATTGTTTGCAGTCAACTTTTTTTTTTTTTTTTTTTAATTCCGAACTGCAGTTTTGTATTTTGGTACTTAAATCTTGAAAACAACAAATTTGAGTTTCAATTGCACACAATATTGAGTTGATGCAACTACACATTTTAGGTCAATCCAAGCAATCAAAGTAACATTTTAAAACTTGTAAAGCACTTTTATCTTGCAACTTTGCATTTATTAAAAGGATAAAGCCATCTAAATTGCTTTTTTTTTTGAGTGTGTAACAGCTAGAAGTATGGTGGAGGCCATGGAGGAAAAACCTAGAAAGGATGCAGGAAAACTTTTTTGTGATCCAGTAAAGAAAAGGAAACTTTAGTGGAAGGACAACAGACTAAAAAAAAGGAAGCAATTTGATGCGTTGACAGTTTTTGTGTAATTCCTCTCATTGCCAGAAGGGGGAGACAAAAGTTCCATCTCGCTTGCTTAACTTAACAGACTTTCAGTGTTGCTGCTCAGCACAGAGGAGACCCAGGGGCATTGTTGAAGGTCAGTTATTCCGACATTTATGAGCTGAAAAAGCAGTAAAAGAGGCAGGTTTGAGGAGGGAATGCAGGTTACGAGGAGGTAGATTTTGCAGCATCTCATCAAAAAAAAAAAAAAAAACCCTCCTGGAAATGAAATGATGCTGGAGGACGAGGTTTAGCTCACTCGGTTACAACTTTGCCTCCTCTTCTAGGTTGTCGCTAAGAAGTACCGCAACTACGACATCCCCTCCGACATGACGGGGGTGTGGCGGTATCTGAAGAACGCCTACACCCGAGACGAGTTCACTAACACCTGCGCCGCCGACTCCGAGATCGAGACCGCCTACAAAGACGTGGCGAGGAGGCTGGCCAAGTAACCCAGCAGCTGACCCAAGAAAATAAACTAACAACACACAACATGTCAAAAAAAAAAACAACAAAAAACCCAAAAAACAATCACAAACCCTCCATGTGTCCCCCTTGAGTCTCCTTCGGTTTCATTTACAGAAACTCAAGATTACTTTGTCTGTTATAGCAAAACAGGTCAGATGTCTGTGTTGTGGAGTCGCTCGTGGTGCTTTGCAGCTCCAGACTTGATGGATTTCAGAAAATTTCAGTGTGCGTATGGTATTTCAATCACACAAGCAGACATTGCAAAACAGAAGTGGAGCAGGAGATAAATCAAACACGTTTAACTTGATTCGCAGTTCAAAAACCGGGGGTTCGTATTTTTGCTGCCGTGAAACTTCTGACATAACTCTTTTTTTTTTTTTTTTCGCTCAAACATGATTGTGTCTGTCTGTATTTATTCCTCATAACACAAAGCTCTCTTTCATACGTTCTCCAGCGCGCGGCCAAACATTTTACTAGCTGCTGATGTCAAGGTCGTTCGCTTTATTTATTCCCGAGCCCACAGAAGTCTAGTCTGACTCCAGTGTTTATTATCAAGCTCTGGCTCCTGCAGAGACACCTTGATTCATCTGTGACCGATGATTGATGCTAATTGTTCGCCCAATGTGACTGTTCCAATCTGCAGTTTCAATCCCGTCGTCACTCATTCCTGCGGGTGTTGCTGCTGTAAGTTTTTTTTTTTGTTTCCCCTCCCGAGCTTCTGCGCCTGTTTAGATTCCCTCCCGCTTCTGAAAGCTTGATTTTAAGGGGAAAAAAAAAATTATTAGAACAAAATTTAGCTTTAGAACAAAGCTTACTCCTGAATCGCTTGCATGCTGGAATGAATCTGTTTTAGCATTTAAACCTGATATCGAGCCTTTTTCAATTATGTGCCTTGTTATTTGGAAGAATCAGAAATCCACGCCAATGTCACTGATGGATTCATTCTGAAAAAAAAAAAAAAAAAAAATGTATCGCAGCCAGAGCCGAGACACATTTGTTTCGCCTCTAGCTGTTAGTGTTCGGTCGATGGTATTGATTTTGTCTTGAGTTACACACGATATTATAAATGGAGAGAGTATTTATTTAGCAGCCCCAATCAGGCCTGATTAGCTCGAGCCATTAGCGCCGCGATGAAAAGCGTCTTCCAGGGCCAGGTCCGCGATGGTCAGGAGCCCTGCCCTCCAGCCCCTTCATCAGAAAGACATTTCCGATCAACATCCGCAGCCTAAAAAGTTAAAGTTCAAAAGTTTCATTGTCCGCGCAGGAGGAGGAGGAGGAGGAGGAGGATGGAAATTTGTCTTGGGGCTTATCGTCTTTGGCTTGTTGTCAGGCTGCAGCTACAGCAAGACTTCCTTGAAGAACCATAAGGCTCTTGTGTGGTTTTGGACAAACATGTGATATGAAATTGGAGCATGATGACTGAGAGGCTTGCACACTGCGAAGCTCTACAAATAAAATAATATTTTCACAGATCTGCTTCTGCCTTTTTTCTTTCTCTTTTCCAGCGTGGTGATCAATCAACGCCGATGCTTGCAGGTATTGTCTGGGCGAACAAAAAAAAAACAAGGTGGACTGGTTCTTCCGAAAAAGGTTTTAGACCGAGCTGATCAACTCCAGTGGCGCAGGTCTGCTTCTCCATCCATAACAGAGAGAAAGAAGCAGAAAGAGGGGGAAAGAGAGAGAGAGTGATGACCGTTGACAGGCTTAAATAGAGGCTTCCATGCCAGGGATCAAACGCCATCCCTCTTCTCCACTCTCTCATTAAGACGGAAAACCCGAGCGCCGCCATCCGATCTGTCTCCATTTTTCCTCAAAGGAGTCTAACTTGAAAGATCTGCGCCTGTCGGATTTACAATGGTGGGCGAGCGGTGTTTACTGAGACGCAGCCTTGCCAGAAACAACAGTCAAAGAAAATAAATGGAGCCTGCCTAGTGTTTCCACAGGAGTAAGGAAATATGGAGCGAGACTTGTGCCTTGCTGTTTGGTAATTAGTACCTAAACATCCCCTGTCCTTGGATCCCATCGCTCACATCCAACATTTCTGCAAGCTGGATAATATACAGTGGAGCATTAGCGTCAAACACGTCTGGTCATGGGGGCCTGGCACGCCACATTAATCTGCTATTACACTCCCAGTGGATCTACCAGTCGCTGGCCTTGGCTCGGCCACCGTCGGTCCGTATAGGCTGACAGCGACTCACACACACGGTGCACATTCGTAGCCAGCTTCAGTAAACCTCCTCAGCTCAGGCATAAATTGTGTAAATTGAGTCTCGCTTTGAGACCCGAGCTGATTAAAACAAACTGGTGCGTTTGACGTGTGAGGACCCACCAGAAACAGACCTGTGATCCAATTAAAGGCCCGGACCCATAGTTTAAGAAATACTGCCACACAGGCCTCCGAAAGAACAAGTCGAATTTAGCTTATTGTAGATATTGCACCCGCGAGAGAAAGACGTGCCGTATATGTTTCAGCCTGAGGTGAAGTTCAGTTTCCTCCGTCTCCTGTCTTTTTCAGCAGAGGGCTGCATGTTTTAAAACTGCGGCAGTCGAGGAAAGGGGGTTCGTTTGGTGCGTTATCTCAAACGATTCGGACTGTTTCGCTTTGGATTTTTCACTTATTACAGTCAAGTCAGAGAGTTAAGCATCCTTTATTTCTAAATCCTTAAATAAAGAATGAAAAAATAGCCTAAAACATGCACAAACTCCTCTATTTATGCACATTTTAGCTTGTTTCCTGAGTTGCTTCTTCATAATTCACAGACAAAGGTGGCGCCCGCAATCTCCTTGGTGAATAAATATTTTTCTTATGTCATTTTTGGGCCTAACCGGGTCATCACTTGCGAATAGATTAAAGGAGGTCTTTATTTAGTTTGCAAAAACACTGAATATTTTTATCCAGTTGGGTGGAAGAGGCTTTGAATTGTGGAAATGCCTTCGGAGCAGAACAGTCGCGACTTTTGTTTAAAAAAATGACCTTCAGTGGTGAAAGAAGGATTCAGATCCTGAAGCAAAAGTAGTAAAGCAGAAGTGGAAAAATACTCTGTTGTAAGTTGCAATCGTACTTAAGTAGAAAAAACTGGAGTACAAGCAGCAGTTAGAGTATGAAAGTAGAAGTCCTCTGACTGACATATTGTTATATCTGCCATCATTAGATGATTAATATTGAAGCATCAATGTGTCGGCAGCATGTCACTGCAGGTGGAACTGGTTCGAACTACTTTACACCCAGTTTTACACATAAAGACGGCAGATAAATCCGAGGCCTCCGAACATGATCGATGAGTTAATACGTTCTGATGCGCAAATCTGTTTTCAGTTCTTCTCTAATCTTTGATTTCTGGTGAGATGTTGGATCACTGCAGCATTTATGGAAATGAAGCCATGTGAGAAGTTTGGAGGGAAAAATCACTTTTTGGTGGAGCTGTTAACAACTCGTAGACGTCTGAAATGTGACTCAGACTTCACACTGCTCTCCGTAAGGAGCCAGAAAGGTTGGAAAACAGCGTGTTGTATTTTAAAACCCTCATTTTATTATCCATTATGTGTGAAATCTTAATCCTGAAAGTAACTAAAGCTGTCAGATAAATGTAGTGGAGCAGAAAGCGCCGTATTTCTTTCTGAAATGCAGCACAGTGGAAGTATGAAGTAGCGTAAAGTGGAAATACTCAAGAAAAGCACCTCAAACACAGTACTTGAGTAAATGTACTTAGTTACTTTTCACCACTGATGACTTTCTGCACTGTAGGAAGTGGGTTCGAGCTGTGGTTTAGGTAGAGTAGTGTTTCAAATGAACCTTTTAGGTGACTTTAATGGATTCTAGCAACTTGAAATTTCTCTTAGTCCCTTTCTAGCTTCATTTTTCTAATGCAGCTGTTTTCTCCTGTAGGATTACAGAGTAAAATAAAGGAAAGGACACCAAATCTAACGACAACATTGGGTTTTACGATTTACTTCTGAGTAAAGCAAATACTCAAATTGAAGAAATTGCAAACTTTAAGTTCCTTAAAGTTAGGTTGCAGCAAAACAAACTGTTCATTTGAGAGAAGTAAAATTATTCAAGTAAATCTGACTTAAGCTGATGGTTTGAGTTCCTGCTCTTGTGGCGTTGAGCATCTGACGTCATGACATTTACTCTTCTTCATTTTTTGTTGCAACTTCACCACTATTTTTATTTTTGTAGTAGGTTCACAGTGACAGAGATATAAAAACAGAAAAGAAAAGCTAATCTAACGACAACATTGTGTTTTACATGCAGATATTTGAGTTGGATATATCGCAAACTTCAGGTTGACGCATGTTAAAATTGAGTTGCAGTGACGCAAATTGTTCTTTTAGGCCTACTAGAATTACTTTAGTAGCTCCAACTTAAACCAGTGTTTTAAGTTCCTGCTCCTCAACTCAAAAAAACATTTTCTGACAACAGTTTGAGGAGAAAGAAACATCAGCAAATCAAATGATAAATTCCATGTTGTACATATTGCTTTTGAAAGAAGCAAATACTTAAGTTAACAAAACTGGAAACTTCAAGTTAATTTTCCTTAAAATTAAGTTGCAGCAACGCAAAAGGTTGCGTTGAGAGGAATCAAAATATTTTAGTAGATCTAAACAACTGGTTTAAGTTGCTGCTCTTCTAGCGTTGTGCGTCCACATTCCTTTATTTTTACGCTGCAGCTTACCCACTATTTTCCTTTTGTAGGTTTACAGAAGAAAGAAAAGGAAAGAACAGCAAATCTAATGAGAAAATGCTGTTTATGTTTTGCATTTGGGAGAAGCAGATATTTGGAGAAATGGAAACTTCCAGTTGGCCTTCTTTAAAAGTAGTTTGCAGAAACACAAACAGCTCATTTGCGATGAAACAAACGGTTTAACTCAAACTAGCGGCATTAGTATTATTAGTTGGATGAACTTAATTCTATTATGTACAACCAACTAAAGCTTTAAGTTGGTCCAACTGCTCTGTCTTCTCAAAGAGCAACAGGTTTAGAAAAACAGATTCTATGATTTCATTGTAATGATAATACAAGAGAGACACAAGTTAGACCAGACACACACACACACACACACACATACACACACACACGCACAGATGAAGAATGTTCAGCCTGTTTTTTCTACTAAACTCCTGCTTCCATTCGCCGTCCTCGTGCCGCTTAATGACTGACATGTGACGTCCAGCATCGACCCGTTTAGAAGGTGAGAGCTGAGGTCTTTCAGGCCCGAGAAAGGAAGCGTCTAATCAGAGCACAGGAACACGGTGTCGTAACAGGAGATCATGTTTAAAGAAGAGAGACAGGGCTGCCGAAGACGAGTCCTCGTCTCTTCCACTCGGAGACGGAGAGCATCTCGGAGAGTATCGGATTCCCAGCAGGTCCCCCAAACCCTCCTCTGCTCGCCTGCCCTCCGAGCTTTGACTGACTTGTGGTGAGGCTTGATGGGGATTATTGATCTGCCCGGCGCGCGCCTGCGGTTTCGGCGTAAGACTTGACGACCTCACCAGAGAGAGTTCTTGGCACTCGCCGGCTGCTGTCTTAGATCAGTTGCGTCGAGGAGGGAACGGGACAGGCCTGTCGTGGCCTGAAAGTGTGGACTGTTTGAGCTCGGAGCCAGGTGATCAAGACATTT